CCGTCCCTCCCACAGCCGGAGGCCGTACAAATTGTGTGTCCACCCGAAAGGGCTTTTGGGCACAATAAATAAATACCATCCTAATTTAATAATCTTCTTATAAACTAAAATAATTTAAAAAAAAATAATTAAACTACACCTTCGACCAAGGGCCGGCATTCCAATGAAATCGAGCATTGCAAGAATTTATTTCACAATGCTGTGTAACCTTGAAAATTTATTTTAAATTATTTATAGGAGAAGATCGCAATCACTCTTTTTCAATCACTCGTGTTCTTAACCCTCCCTCCCCTCCCAATTATTTTTTAAAGTGTCTTAAGGAAATTAAAACTTCACCTAGTCTTTTGGGGTTCTAGGTTTCCATTGACTAATTAATCTGAAATTTTTACTATGAGATTCGAAACACTATTTACCATTAAAGTTTGACAAATCGTATTGTTATAGAGAGATACATACATAACTAAATACATAACTAACATCCGCTATTTATTGATAGGCAAAAAGGCAAAATTGATAGGCAAAAATTGATAGGCAAATAGGCAAAAAGGCTCAAAAAGTCTAAAATAGGCATGAAATAGGCAAAATAAAAGTCATGCTAAACTCTTCGGACCAAGCTAAAAACACGTTTTTTGAACGTATTACAGCATGCCAAGCTCGCAGAAAAAAAAAGGCATTTGCCTATAAATCACAGCCTTAATAATCAGAAATAATTATTTAGGTTGCCCTTCTTTCGTTTTCTTCACTTTTTTATTTTCTTCCGTTTTCTTCCTTCCGTACACAATTGATATTTTTACATTTAGAAAAGGAGAGAGGGCTCTTACATTACCCCCAATACATAACTAACATCCGCTATTTATTGATTTCAAAACACATATACATTGTAGGTATTTGCCTATATTATTTAAATATTTCCGATTATAAACTTGAAATTAAAATTTAAAAAATACTAAAAAAACAACAAAATATTTAATGGAAAAATTAAAAAATCAAGGACAAGCTATGCCTGTTGAATTACTTGTTAATGTGTTTAAAACAGCTAATATTTCTTTAAATGATTTAGGAATTTGGTAAAATATAACTAAATTTTGGTAATAATTTGGTTGGTACCCCCCCCCCTCATTTCTATTTTTCTATTCTTTATGGCAAATTAATTATTATTTGAAAGAGCACTCCGAGTTGGTTCTGATTTAAATGACCTTTTATTTTAATCTCTAGCAGTGGCACAAAAAGCTTCTCCATCGAGGATTTAGCTTCATAATGCTGTTCAGAATCCTCAAGTCTAGCCAATTTTGATATCTTTCGACCCAGCTCGAAGAGCTCTTTTTAATGATTTATAATAATGGGTTGTTAGATAAATAATGAGCCCTTTGCGCATAATTAAAATAATTTACTATAACTAAATAATGAAATGAAATCAAAAAACAATCTAATGCCCATTATTATCTATCACATCTTGCCACATGCTGTGAGGTTTTTTAATTCCCCTTTGATAAAATCTAGTGGCAGATTTGGTATCAAGAAGTTTGGCATTAATTAGTTATATATCAATCAAAAAAGCTCAAAATGTTCAGGGAAAAAGAAAAATAAGGGGGGGGGGGGATTAGCCAAACTATCACCTAAATTTTTTCTTATAAACCTAATTTTTACAACTTTTTTGCTCAAATTAGTAAAATTTTTAAAACAAAGCTCTTCAGATGTTTTCATAATATCTAAATATGATCATTTTAATTAAAAGATATAGACTTAAAAAATAAAATTATCCAATTTTTGTTTGAACACTTAAAATATACTAATTAAATTTAATATTCTCTAAAGTTTGAGAAATAAGAAAATGGAAGGAGATCAACTAAAAAAATATTGGCTTAAATTTGCTAAGAATTTTTTAACGTCTTCAGGAATAATTAATTCTTTTGCTGGAGAAGAGTTTAAGAAAATGAAGGTAAAATAATTTTAAAATTAATTAAAAAAACTATAAATAAAAACCATAAATTTTAAATCTTATTATCAAAAAAATGCAGAAGTCTGTAATTTAAAATTGGAGACAGTACCGATATACCTACTTATCGAAAAAAATAATTTATAGACCCTATAAATAAAACACTACAAATAGTATTAAAAATATAAATAGAAATTTTTGGTGGTGATCGAAACAAGGGTTGTTTCCCGTCCCCGAAAGTTGGGGAATTTGAAATTCCCCCCCCCCCCCGTGGCACCCCCTCCTCGTCGGGGACAACCCTAATCGAAACCAAAAATAACCTAAAAGCACAAAAAACTTTTTAATGTTGAAACAATAATCAAAAAGTTCAGAAATTAGGAAGTTCTACAAAATTTCAAAAACAAAAATTCATCAATAATTAAAGTTCAAACCCTTAAAAAATTATCAAAAAATTTAATAAATGCAACTTTTCCCCCTCTACATTTTTAAAATAAATTTGTTTAAACATAACTTGCCCTTTCCCCTTATTAAATTGAGGTTAAAGGTATTAAATCAATGGAATTAGGAGTAAACTACATAAATAAGTGACCGACCATCCACATTTTTTCTCATTCTTTATTAAGTAAATGTTTTTTTTTATTTTTATTTTTGTAAACAAAAATAAAAATTTGAATAATTATTTATTAATTTTATTTATTTATTACGTCTTTAATTTTTAGAAATATATTCTAAATTCAATTTAATTAAGACCTTCTTAATGTCTGAAAAGAAGACTGAATCCGTAAGATTGAATTATCAATATAAAAATTTTTAAAAATTTTTATAGTTGGGTAGTCCTGAAGATGACAAAAGCCTTGACTTGGTTATTAAGCTAACAACTCAATTAGCCGAAAATAACAAGCTGTTGGTTGAGGCGCGTGAATATATTGAGAGCGTCTGTGGTGTTGGATCCAAATTGACTGGTGATTTTTTCTAATCTGTAAAATTTAGTTACCCTTTTAATTAGTATGTATGTCATAGTTTGAGGGGTTTTTTGTATTCCCGTGTTTTAAGGCGCTGAATCAACTTAAGTTTTTACTGAATCGTTTTATTAACAGTGACTTCGCTTAAGGATAGAATTTTTTGCTTTATTGGAAATTTCCAAAATTGTTAACTTAAAAAATTATAGTAAAATAATTTTGTGTTTTTAATTAAACAGCAAAAAGAGGTCTCAAGAGGAGCCATAGTCATTCTTCAACATCTCCAACAAAGAAGAAATATTGTTTCTTCTGCAACATTTACGTTATGAACGAGGATTATAATGCACATTTGGAAAGTGACAAACACATTGAACTTGTTAAGCTCAATAAGCTTACTCCACCTACTTCATCTTCAAAAATGGACAATTGAGAATGAAAGTTGTTAGTTTAATTAACTCTCAAAATTAATCTCAGATACAAGAAATATTTTTGACAAAAAAAAACTCATACTATTTGCTTTGCTTTCGCATTTTTGACAAAATACATAAAAATATTTAAACAATTTTTGAACCAAAATTTTACTTTAAATCAAAAATTTTTTTCGTTTTAATAACTATTCCGGGCTAAAAACTAAAATCACTTCTATAGATTTAAATACAAAATGTAAAAATTAAGTTTAAATATTTTTTGTTCTTATTTATACATTTATTTCAAAAATTTGTATATTTTATATTTATAAGCAGAAAGTGTAAATGTTGGGAAGGGAGGGAGTTATCTTTATTATTATTTATTTTACACTTTCTATTTGTGGATTTCTTGTATGTATGAGTATTTCGAATGGATAAAAGCATTTATGATTGTAGAAGAGTTTAATAGATTTTTTTATTAGAAAAGTTAATTTGAATCGCTAAATTGTAGTTTTTATGTTGACTCTCAAAAGTTATCTCAGGTACAAGGAAAAAAATTACTTCGACTTTGGCTAGTAAATCCTTTAATTAAAGCATTATTCTTAAAACCTATCTATAGATACATTTATTTTTAAAATTATTTCTATTGGAAAAGGATTTAAGAAATTAGAACCTTTAAAATTATAAGTATTCTTAATAATTTTCCCACAAAAATTATTTAAATTATTATTTGACAGCGTCATTACAAAAATTAATATTTATCAAATTATTCACAACCATTAAATTATAATCAACAATAATTGGTTAGGCAGTGATATTTTTAAAAGTTTAAAGAAATAAAAGGAAAATTAATATTAATAAAATATAAGTAGAATTGCAGAGGTAATAAATTATAAAGAAATTTTAGAAAATTTATAAATTTTTAATTTTATTGTCTACAGCTATAATTAATCCTTTAAAGCGGTCAGGTGAGCATTCTCCACAATATCCACCACAAAGTCCTTGAATTAGGGCATTATTCTTCAAATTAAAAAAAAATATTTAATTTACATAATTTCACTATTTACTTCAAAGCGTTCAATTCTAACACTTGTCCTATGCCCTTGATTGACCCATTCCAGGTCATCAACTATTCGAAGATCAGAGCCGCGGAGATCTATTGAAAAACGCCCCTAAAATTAAAAAAAAATTGCTTAAGCAATCAAACAAAAGAAGTATTCACTTGTGGGCAATCACTCATTGAATAACAATCACCAGCGGTGCCAAAAGCTACAGGACTACCGTATTCAGTTATAGCAAATGTATAGTCATTTGCTAGGAAAAAATTATTTTCTTAATTCAAATTAACGAATATTACGATTAATTTTCATATTGTGAAGGTCGATGCGAACTTTGTTATATCTCGTAAAACCTTGGCTGACATGGCCATCATTTGTACAAGCACAGCTATCGTTTCGAAGACCATTATGGGGGCAAGAATAGGGGTAGGCAAGTCTTTATTTTTTAAATTATTTTAAAAATAATTTGAATATTGCCTCACCTTTTCCCATAAAATTCGGCAAAATTACTTTCGGGACGTAAATTTAAATAAGTTTTTGGAATTGTTTCATTCATTTGATGGCAATAAACAACAATTTTATAGCCATTAAGCATAACCTTTAAATAAATTTTCAAATTTTCAAAAATTATACTACACACAGTATAATTTCCATCATTTAATTGTTTCTCATTTCCGTCAATATTTATTTGTTTAGCCTGGTGATGGGCTTTTAATTCGGCACAGTCATTAGGCATACAATTTCGAATAAAACAGGGCTCTCTACGCTTAGGACGAGTTGTTAGATCACACCCACCTCCGTCTGGGGAATTTGTTGTTCTACCACCTTTTTTATCCAGACATCGAACTTTGCGGCGTTTAAAGCCTGGACCACAACTTTTTGAACACTAAAAATAATTTTAAAATTATTATATGGATTGTAAATAAATGATAAAAGTAATGAAAGAAAAGAAAAATAATTTTCTTACAAATTTAAAACAATTAAAAAATAACAATGAGACCAAAAATAATTTAAAAAAAAATAATTAAACTACACCTTCGACCAAGGGCCGGCATTCCAATGAAATCGAGCATTGCAAGAATTTATTTCGCAATGCTGTGTAACCTTGGAAATTTATTTTAAAATTATTGATAGGGGAAGATTCAAAAATTTGTAATCCCCTATAATCTCTATTGCAATCCCCCGTATTCTGAATCCTCCCTCCTCCTCCGCGATTATTTCTTAAGATGTCTTACGGTGTCTCTCTTAGTGTGTTAAGGCGTGTCTTAAAATATATCTATTTCTATTGTCCAATTAATCCGAAATTTTTATAGGAGATTCATAAACACTATTTAAAATTAAAATTTGATAAACCGTATCATTATAGAAAGATTCGATTCCAATTTTTATATTACCGATTTTCCTCTAAAATAGCCCCCCTCTAGAGGTCGATCGAAAAAACCCCCGGGTTATTTTAGAGGAAATACGGTATTTATATAATCATTCTTAATACTAACAATCGGCTTATTTTCAAGTGCCATACACATACTAGAAAGTACAATTGGCTCAGATATCTCTTTTGCAGTGTCAGTATAGTCCTCATTTGTGTTAGAAATTGAAATAATATCTTTACGTAATCTACACTCGATTTGGCGAAATTGTTGCTAAAATTCGAAACAATTTTTTTCTAAAAATGAAATAATCACCCCAATGTCACAAGAGCGTGAACATGAACTCCAAGGGCCAGCTACCCAGTAGTAAGGCTAATAATAATATTGAATTGTTATTTTATAAAAAATTTTAATATAAAATTCTCTAATTGAGCGGCCCGGAGCACCTCCCTTTTTTCGACCCCGAAACCCGATCCGAGAAAAATTTTGGAAACACGACCCGACATTTTTCTTAACCCGGCCCCCCTGGTCCTATAACTCAACAAGTAATGGTCACTTTTTCATGTTCTTCCCCTCCCACCTCCCTTCCCTGAGCGGCCAGCTGCTCTATATTTCCATCCCTTCTCAAAGTGCCGCTTTAATAAATAGTTGAGCTTATTAATAATAGGAGACGACACGTTTAATAGGAGACGAAGCTTATTTTCGATCCCCTCTCCCAGAGCTGCTATTGGAAACGGCCGCTCAGTTATAGAAAATTTGGTTTGTATATTTTTAAAATTAATAATAAATATATACGCATTTATCTGTTTGGCATTTTCTTGTTTCTATTGGCTTTACAGTGTTAGCACCGTTCTCGCACATTTCTGGAGAAGCTTTTTTGCCAATATCACTTTAATTCAAATTAATTTTTATATAATATTTTATCTAAATTTACTTCACACAATAAATACGTCGTCTCTGTTCACCAGGTTTACAAAGATCAAGACACTGTAGAAATAAAAAATGAAAATAAAAATTAAATTCCAGTACTTTTGACCAAGCTCCTATACGCCAAGAATATTGTGTACATTTTTTCAAATTACATTTTCTTATTTCTGGAGGCTTGGGTTCTGTTGTGATACAATCATTGTCGTTTAAAAGGTGTTCATTTCTAACACCTTTTCTACATACAACTTCACGTTTAGCAAATCCAGGACCACACGAGGTAGAACACTAAAAATATTTGAAATTCGGCAAGTTTTTGCTTGTTTTCCCAATTTTATAAATTTATTAAAAATGAATTTTCGTGCCCATTAGACCTGTAAGTTCCAAAATTTTTATTTACCGTATTTTTTGAAAGAGTCCCATGGGGCTTTATTTTTCAACTATCCTCCAAAGTGGGGCTCTAATTTAGCATGGGGCTCTATTTCAAAAAATACGGTATACATTCATGATTTCATTGCAATATAATTTGAAAAATCAAAAAAAAATTCGATAAACCGTTTGGTTATAGCACAAAAACTAATTATTTAAAGTTCCTTAGCAATATAAAAATATATTGGAAAGATTACCGTTCCCCATTCGCCTTTATGCCATTTGGGACAATGTGAATGTCGGCAAGGATGTTCCGTTTCTGGTCGTTCACTGACCAAACAACGTGAGTGATCAATTTCTACTTTAGTTAATGGGTCTATACACCTGACTATTCTCGTACGTTTTGTTGAACCACAATTATTAGGGCACTGAAAATGTTATTTTAACAATTTTTAAATTAAATATTTAATTTTTAAAATGAAATATTTTGGTAAATTATACTTATTTTCTACAGTATACAGTAGGGTTGAGCGCCGGGATCCCGATCCCGCTCAACTATAGTATACAGTAAATGGATATTAATTTAATTATTACTTTATTATTTAAGCAACTTATGTAAATTTGTTATTTAAGCATGTTCTAGTAGTTAAAGGAAATATAGAAAAATTTAAAATTTATTTAAGCAAAAAGCTACAATAACAAAACAAAGAAAACAAACGATGACAATAAAAATAAACAACTAAACAAACAAAAATTAAACAATAACAAAAAAGTAACAAGCAGAAAGGACAATAAATGCGGGAAATTATTTAAAAATAAAAAAAAACCAAAGAAAATAGGAAAACGGATACAATTTGATCCCAACGTACCGCCGAGCTATACTTCGTCTAAAATTGTCAAATCCGGGAAGTCCTGGTATGGCTTGATTAAGCCAGGACCCGTATCATTCACCTAACCAGGCACCTAAGGGTCATAGTTAACCTTACGACCGTCTTATGATACCGGTTAAAACCGCCGGTTGGTGGCTACCTAACAAGCAGCCAAGTTCTTATAACACGGGCCCAGGGCGTCCCAGATTCGAAAATTTTGAACAAAGCTACTTTCTCCCCAGAAAAAATAAGCAGAAGGTTAAAAGCAAATATTTTTAAATATTCCATCTCAAGGATTAGAATGATTTGTGGTAATAGATTTTTCCTTATGCCTCAAATGTTGACGAGTTCTGTTTCGACATTTCCCATGTCTACACCAAATATTTTTTGCATTATTATTTATTTTTAATCTTTCATCAATTTCTTTATTTTTACTAACCGCACTCCAAGGGCCGCTCTCCCAATGAGGTAGTTGAACAATTAAAGGAACAGAAACAGGTGATGAAGCAACTGAATTAACTTTGACAGGATAGTCTTTATTTTTTGTGTATGTTGGAGGATTTTCAGAATTTTTTGAAGCAATTCCAGTTGAGGAAAGTGAAATATTCTTTGTAGTACACTCATTCATTCTCGAACAAATTCTTTTCGAGTCAGGTCTCAAACCAGAATCGCATTGGTTATCATCGAGTTTTTGAAGCAAATTGGTCGCTGAATTGCACCAAACCAAACGTGTTTGCTCTCCTTGGCCACCGCAGCTGACGGAGCACTATTTAGATAGTACATATTTTAATTCAAAATTTAAAGTAGATATTCAATATAAGTACAGTAGTGTGGGGGAAAGTTTCGATAGAGTTAAATAATTTAGCGAATTTTACGTTTCAATGCGAATGAGTTCAAAAAAGAGGAAAAATAGTGGTGAAAATGAATAAAGTAGAGTAAGTCGAGCTCGAGCGAGTTCGAGTTCCGCTTAATCTCTTGATATCCATCTCATTCCTCTTATCACTCGATATCCCCATAATCTACACGAATCCCCGAAATAATATTATCCATTGATTTTCAACCCGAAGCCCGTAGTCAACATGGATCGTGTGCATAGCATGGAATTTCGGCGGATTAAGAGGGATATAGACGGATTAACGAAAATAACTGGGATTTGGATGAAGATCTAACGCATTACTGCTAACAAATGCTCAAAACACGGCACTGAGGATGAATAGGTTTTAGTAAAAGTATTGTTTTTATTGAAATTATTTAAAGAGGTAAAAGTCCAGCTCGCTATCTATATGCCCGCAAAAGCATTTCTGCAAAACTCGTTTTTTACTGTATTCTCCTTCTTTCCTTTAATGGGTTGACAGCTTGGCGCAACTATATTGTGACGTAAATCATGAAAAAGAGTTTATTTATAAATAATTAAATATAAATAATTAAATTTTAATAATAATTCTAGTGAAAAATAATCTCTTAACCTTTGTGCTTTAGGACCAGTATAGATTTTTTGGAAGATTCTGGTCCTAAATCCAAAATTTTCGCTTGTGAAGCTGATTTAAAAAATTTGGGGCTTCTCTGACTTCAATCCACAGAAATATATTACGCTAAAATTTTTATGTGAAATTCCATAAATCTTGGCGGGACTTTATCATAAAATTATATTCGTTAAATTTTTATTTATTTGTAAATTAACTCGTTTTTATGATTTGCGCCACAATGTAGATGCGCCGAGTTGTCAATCCATCAAAGGAGGAAGGGCAAGGGAGGAGAAATGCAGCATAACATGTGTCTTGCAGAAATGCCTTTTGCGGACATATAGATAGCGAGCTGGACTTTTACCATTTAAAGATACTGTTTTATAAAAAAATACTCGATTACTCGACTACTCGAACTCGAACTCGGCCTAAAAAGTTGAGCTCGAGCTCGAACTCGGGTTTTTCAAACTCGGATTACTCGAGCTCGGTTTTTTCCCAATTACTCGGTACTCGACTTACTCTAGAATAAAGTAACAATACTCACGTGAGACCAGTGGCCAACATTCCATTGCCCAGAAGGGCATTTTTGTGGGTTACATGATTCTAATTTGATAGGCTTCTCAGATTCCAAACAATTTTTTAATGTTGTAACGTTGTCAACACTTTTACAATGGATATTACGTTGACGCCAACCACCTCCACAACTTGCAGAACACTATATAAAAATATTTAATAAATGCCATAAAAAATTATATTATAGCTACCGATGACCATTCATCAGTTATCCATTTCCCAATATTTTTTTGTTGGTTGCCTAATAAAGAAATTGCAGCCGAAACATGCAGAAGGGCAGGAGGATTTGTGTATGATGTTTTAAAATCAGATCTGGGTGATTCACTTTTTGGGATATTAATACATGGAGGACAAGAGCGACGAGAATAAGGCTTTTCCAAATGTGAACAGAATTTATCTAGAAAAATATTAAAGATAGAAATTTGTATTTCTATTCCACTACCTTCAATAAGTTCTCCATTGTTTCGACATTCCATCAGTCGAATTTGTTCAACAATTTCATTATTGACATTACACGGTTTCGGAAGTGGACATTCAGACCATTGGCCAATCACCCATTCACCTTTAGTTATTGGACAAGCTGGAAGTTCGCAAATACGATCGGACTGAGGCTTTTGACCCTTATAGAATTAAATTTCAATAAAAAAACAAAATTCCAAATATTTACAGTGCATTCTCGATCATGGAGAACAATATAATTATTTTCGTTGTTGTAATTACGGCTAGTTGTGTAACGAACACAATTAACATTTCGGTGCTGTGTACCGCCAGAACCACATGATAATGAACACTAAAGTAATAATAATGATTAAAGTATTAAATTATGTATAATATTATTATTATAATAATTCTTATTGATAATTTAGGTATCTGAACAAGTATCCAAATTAATTATCTATATATTTATATTGCCAAATAAAATTAACACACCGGCCCCCAAGATTCAACATTCCAAACGGCACATGACATTAATACACACTTTTCTTCATGTGAGGGTCTGTTGACAGCTGTACATAGCGAATCATCAACTATTTGATTGCGAAGAACACATTCTACCAGCCTTTTCTTTATTCCTTGCCCACAACTAACAGAACATTTGTTCCAATCAGAAGTTCGCCTATTATGAGATAGAAAATAATTTTATGAAGGAAATGTTTTTTTGGGTTTAGTAAATAATTAACCAGTAGGGACAGGGTCCTGGGCTGCAGACTCTATAGCTTTGTGGACGTAGTTGTTGTTTCTGATTTTCAGATATTTTTGAATTAATGGAAGTTTGTTCATTAATTTTTTGTTGGGTACACATAATATCTGGCAATTTTCTTCCAACCGAATCAACACATTGAACTAAACGGGTCTGAAATCCGTCAGAGCCACAGCTGATAGAACATTGACTGAGGAAAGAAAAATTTTTGAATATTAAGGAAAAACGTGTTCCACCTCCAAGAGCCTAATTGCCAGTGAGGACAAGGTGCCAACTCGCATTGTTTAACAACTATTTTTTCCCGAATATCACAATTCCTATCTTCAAGAGGTCGATTATTAGAGTCAACACAATTAGCATCTCTTCGTTGAATGCCTTGGCCACAACTGACCGAACATTGACTCCATGCTCCAAAACGCCATTCAGTACAAAGTTGTTCGTTACACTTTTCGCTATCTAATTTATTGCTAGGGCATAAACGAGAATTAACTTCACGCCCAGAAGCATCCTGACATGAAGCATGTCGAATTCTAATTCCACTACCACAAGATCGTGAACTTAAAAAAATTATTAAATTGCTTCTGATTTTATTTCCAAGACAGAAATAGATACTACCATTCATTCCAGGCTTCATAAACCCATCGAGGACATGGTGTCCGATTACATTCTGTATGAAGTGTCTCGTGAGGAATTCCCTCGCAGAAGCGATTCTCGACTTTCTGCCCATTCCGGGTATCAATACAATGAATAGAACGATGACGAATCCCGCCGGTACCACACGATTCCGAGCACTAAAGTTTAATTTTAAATTTTTTGAAGTTAAACACACTCCTTCATTACCACACTCCATTCAGTGTATGCCCAGCGTCGATCAGTCACATATTTATTAGGTGACTGTTCATTAATTTGTTGTTGTTGAGGATGGTTCCTTGTACTAGGTGGTGTGGGAAGTGGAATTCCTGATCTCTTGCATTCATCTTCACTTGCTTGTTCCTCACGACCATTTGTATAAGAACGAACACATTGATGTTGATATCTGCTAGGAATATTAACAAAATATCAAAAAAGTTTCTAATCACCTATCCTTCTCTCCTCTACCATTATAAGACAATAGACGGTGTTGCCATTTATAAAAACATTCGACGTTGCAAATTCTTTGTCTTGGGTCAGGTCGTCGAAAAGTACCACACATAGAATCAGGCAACACTTTCATGGTGAGGGTGTCCAGACATTGCAATTGCTGGGTTTGAGTGCCTTGACATTTGAGAGTGCACTAAATAAAATTTTATTTTTTTTAAACAGAGGGGGTAATTAATTAAAAAATAATACGATGGATAATTAAACACACCTCACTCCATTTATTTTCAATAAATCGCCAATAAAATGTGTTTGGAGCCTTAGGCACTACTTGTTGCTGTTGTGATTTATGTTGTCTTTGTTGATGTTTTTGAGAGGACAAATTGTTTAATTCGTAGGTTTTTGCAGCTGCTGCTACCTCTCGCTATAAAATGTGTTATAAAATAATAAATTTTAAGCTAAACGAAGCTTATTCCAAGATAATTTAAAAAATATTTTTGCTACCGAAATTATGAGAGGTATATTTCTTTACTCTCGTAGTTAACTCACCGATATTTGAGGCAAAGGCTCCATATATCGGTAATGAATGTTTGGTAGTTTCAGATTACGGCCACTCAAAAAATGGAGATAAACATCAGTTCGCAATGGGCCTGTACCATTTATGCGTTCCTGAGGTGTGTCACTTCCAGAATACTTTAAATGATTTTATTGAGGAAATTAATAATGAATTAAAATTATTATTAATATATTATTATTATAATTATTATTAATATAATTAATATCAAAATTAATATTAAAGATTCCTTTATATTTTATCATCTAAGATACCTCAAGTACAGTATCAAGTATTTGTATTTGTTGAGGGAATACCGATACATGAAATTGTCCGTTTAAAAGCCAATCACCGTTTGGCATTCTTAAAGCCAAATAATTTTCGTCATCTTCCTTTCTTAGTTGATGCAAAGAATTCTGTGTTATATCAATATTTGCGGCTCCGGCAGGAATCCGTAAAACTTCGTTATAACCTAATATTATATAAATTGTTAGTTCAGTATTTATCACTAAACCAAAAGTTCCTCGTTCATTGAAGACCCCCTTTACTTCACGACAAGTTCTTCCATCCCCACCACAAATCCCGCAGACATCGCGACGCATATCTGAACCAAGTCTGTGGTCACAACCACTCTATAAATTATAATTTTGTTCAAAAACTAAAAAATATTTTTATCCACCTTATGACATCCACCATCAATACAAATATCGTCCACATTTCTATCACACGGAGTTCCATCAATTACTTTATCCCTTAATTTGTAAAACGCAGCAGAATCAGAAAGACGGCAATAAAGTAAACATCTATTATAAAATTTAAAAATCTCGAGTAAATTCATTCATTTCCTCTAACCGTTCATTTTCAGCAATTCCAGAAAATTTTGGGACCCATCGAGTGCCGACTGAAGGAACACCATGAATTCCAATATCTTTTCCATCGAATTCGGCACATTGTTGCTCACGAATTCCAGGCATATCCCAAGGGCATTCGTGTATAGCGCAAGTACGATAACGTACTCGTTGACCTGTACAGTATTTACCACCATGTTCTGGCCGAGGGGAATCACAATCCCGATATGACTTTTGGATTCCTATAGAAATTTTTGAATACTATTGTAATAATTCTGAAAAATTCCACCTCCCCCACATGTTCGAGAGCAATCACCCCACGACCTCCATTCTCCCCAGGAACCATCAACAGGTAGTCTCTGTGTAGGAGACATACCAACACATTGACCCATATAACACCACATTTGTCGAGCACATTCTGTTCCGTCAGCCCACGGCATATGCTGGGTACGACAACCCATTTGATATCCATAAGAGACGGCACACCACAATCTACGACAACTTGGCATATATGGACAGAGTTCAGCTGCAGCTCCAAAAACGAATTTGCATTGTTGAGAGACAGAATAACTTTAAGAATAAAAGAAATTTTTCTTAAATTTTAAAATTTATTACATTTCACCGGGTGCGGGATTTTCAAACATTCTCTCATAATACCGTCTCTCAACAGGTTTATCGAGAATACATTGTGTCTGGGCCCGGCGCGCCTCCAAAAAACGGGCAAGCATTGCGGAGGAGCATGCAGACCACGACCAGGGATTTGTGTTGTATTCAAGTGTTGGTGCCATTATATGGTAGTTAGCTTTGTTTAAAGGCATAAACTCTGCACATTTACGTTCATCATCGTGTGGAATGTTAAAAATATGACCGAGCTCGTGAGCAATTGTGAATGCGGCTGATAACCCTGAATTGAAATAGTCTAAAAATTCGTTTCTTTTTACCATTATCTTCAATTATTGCACAGCTTCTTTTGCTATCACACAAAGTTCCAAGCTCGGCAAGACCTAGAGTGTCGCATTTATTTGTTGCCCGGCATATGTCATGGCGAGTTAAAAGAATTGCAACATCTTTAAACATTTTTTAAATTCTCTAGAATTTTTAATAAATCTTTAGTCTACCATGATGATTCAAAGAATCGTCATTTCTGTCATTATACAATTGTTGCCAATGACAAAATTGTTGGAGTGTTTCTTGTGCCCGATTAGATATTAAGGGCCCAGCACGTTCATTTTTTATTATGATGATGCGAACGACAACCATGTTAATAGAAACACCCAAAGATTGATGTCTATATATTGCCGAAACTGTTGAAAATAAAGTTAGTACATAATTCTCCAAATTTTGTTGATGATATAAGAGCATTTGGTGATCAGCAACAACAAGCACTTCAACATAATGATCCCAGGAATTGGCTAATGTAGCGGGGGATCGACGATCACGTTTTACTGGCAGAAATGGAAATTTAGGAGAATCTGGAAAAGAGTACTTGATTTTTAATTATTAAATTGGGTAATAATTTTTAATAATCTCCTTCTTCTTATCCTCATTAATATGTACAATATATAATATTTAAATTTAAAATATATTTGTAACTCGTAAAAAAATTGTCTTTTTCTTTTCCCCCTTTTCTTATCTATGTTAAATGCAACCCGTTGAATATTATATTTGAGAAATACCTCTATTTATATAAGGAAAAGAATCCTAGAGAAAAATGTGAATCAGCTGGCCGCCGTTTCCTGCTAGGAGCGGAGGAGCAATCTTGGTCGCTACTTGATTGCAATTCCTGGGCAAGGCTCGTTACGCCTTTCGGGGTGTATCTTTCATTGTGGAAGATGGATTGAGGCTTATGCTTCTCAAGGCGAGCTATCTAATCTTCGGATTAACCTTAAGGGACCCCAGTGGTTCCTTAATGCCCTCCCTAGCAGTGGTAAGGATTCGGATGGAGGGCTAAGTTAAATGATTCGTGAATTTTTTGCAAATTTTTTTAAATAAAATTCACCATAATGACTTAAGTTGGCATTAATAGTTTGAGAATATTTTAAAAATCCTGCTGCAAATTCTTCAGATGATGATAAGACTGTAACTATAAGAAAAGAATATAAAGTTTAAAATATCTAATAAATATTTCTACTTTCAGTAGATTTTTGCTGTCTCCGCTCATTATTATGATCATCTCCAAAATATTGTGTCTGTACCGGGTAAATTAGATGTGCTCTCAATAATACTTGATCTCGATTGTCGTGAGGTCTATGGCGACGTTTTCTCCTTTGATGGTTAGGATGACCTCCTCCCAAACTTTTATCAAAATAATTATTTAAATTATCTCCTTGAGCTTTTTCAAAGTCCTCTTCATCAATTAAAGGTTCAATTAAGAAAGCACCTTCACTGAAAGCTAATGTACCGAACTAGAAATTTGAAAATAAATCGGAAAATGATCGTTCCAACTAACCAATCCATTATTTCGATCACATAAGTTTACAATACTGCTTTCAAAGCAATTGCCATCATCTATTTTGGCAATGTAAAAACAGGCTGGTGAAATATGTGATCGACTAATTTGTGTGTGGTTATCAGAATCCATCGATTGAACTAATAGGAAAGGAGACAAAGGATTCCAATTGTGGTTATCCGATGCAGTACTAAAATATTTTGTTTGTTATTTAACTAATTTAGTTAGAATTTTAGTTTAATCTTGTTTATTTTCTATAGTAAAGCTAAATCGGGTTATAACTAATTCTTCCTTCAACTACTGCAAGAGCGGCTGGGAGCGAACCGGCATCTGCCGGACTAACCAACCTGTCTCCTTTTTAGGAATTAAATAGGGGAGCAGGCCAGTGTACCGCTAGCCCAATGTACCGCCGAGCTATAACTTTGTCCAAAATTGTGGAATCCGTAGCGCCCTGGTATAGTTCGATTCAGCTGGTAGAAACGCATCGAACCATACCAGGCGCCACGGATTCGACAATTTTGAACAAAGTTATAGCTCGGCGGTACATTGGGCTCGCTGTACATCGGGTGTACCCTTAAATAGCTACTAGAGATCGGACAGATGGCAAAATCAAATTTTTGATTTTCCGACATCAAATATTTGTTTGGACTGATCCCTATTAACTATCTGTTCTACACTATTTATTATGTAGTTTTTCCTATTTTAATTCTGATTCAATTTTAATTAAAAATTTTACCTTCTCCTTTGTCTTTTTCCGATCTCCACTTTCTCATTCTGTTCAACTCTTTTTAAAGCGATACGCAATACTTGACTTGAAATTCTACTTTCACCGCTATTATTACCATCAATTCCGTGTTTTAAATTAACAGTACAATTAAATCCACAAAGCCTGGCAAGTCCAAAAACAGATTTTGAATTAATTTTATCCTCTTCTCTAATACTTCTCTTACGTTTCCGCTCTAATTCAAAATTATTTAATAGCCATATTTGGGTTTCTTTGGGTCGAATATCTGGAAATTTGTGAATTTTTAATTTATTTTTTTATTCAAATCCCCCAAAATATTATTAAGTATTTCTCATCATTTTTTTCTATTCTTTGCTTTTTTTTTAAATTTCAAACAAAAAACTATTTATACAATTCTCATCATTTTTTGTTTACTTTTCGTATTTTGGCTAACTTCCCAATTCTTTAGTGCTAGTTAACGCAATTTTAAAATGAAAACACAAAAAATACATTCAGTCTCTTTTTTTAAAAAATACACAAAAAACAGTTCAAGGATCACCTACGGGAGAGTAAATATCCAAAAAAAATATTTGTAATTTATTTCAAAAAAATTTAAAAGTACCAGAATATGCCGATCTAAGTCGTTTAATTTCCTTTTTTAATAAATTTTCTTTATTATTTTTTTCGTTGTTTCCATTTTTTGAGAATAATGAAGAAAAATTAGCAATAACAAAAATAATAATTGAAAGTAAAAATAAAGCAGAGATCAAGAGGGCCAAAAATTGGAATAATTTTACTCCTTTCACATTAAGGCAGGGAAGGAATGAAAACTAGAAAAAATTATTTAAAATTTAGAACACAAAAATTAAAATCGACTCTCGATAATTTTCCTTCTCAGACCTGCTCATGGATACGGATATGGACACAGATAATATCAAAATGCCTGCGGATATCCGTCTGTAACCGTATGCGGATACCAAGATCAATATCGTGACCAGGTATAGCCCTTCCGGTCCCTGAACAAGGTTATCTCTAAATGACCCATTATTTTCCTTCAGAGATTCGACAGTAATTAAAAAATTAAGAAAACCCACAAAATTAAATTCTTTTCTCCTTTTTCTCCTCCATCCCTTCGAGGCGGTGTCATTTTTTGAAATTTTTTGATGTCGATTTAATGAAAAGATTTTCCTTTGCTGCCGTGTGTTTGTTTCATGTTCATTATCAATCAAAGGAGAAGTGCTTGCCGTAAAAGAAGGCTCGGGATTGAGTGAGGATTGATGAAAGGAATTTGTTTGGGTAGATGGGCCATAGGTTCTCCAACTTTTCGGCCAATAAAGCGGCAATGAATGATATAAAGAATTTCGATTATTTATTGGCAGTGATGAATTGGAGAATTGCAATACTTCCAATGTTTGAGATGTACTTGCTTCTGATAGGGGCAAACAATTTTGTTTGGTTAATGGAGCAAATTCTTGCTCGCTTGCTTGCTCCTTCATCAACTTTAAAAAATTTTTTTTTGAAAAACTTTTTAAATTTAAATTTTTAATTAAAACAAGTTAAATTTTAAGTATAATTTATTATTGGTTTGTTTAAATTAAATTAATTCGAAAAAGTTAAAAAAATAATTTTTGAAATAATTTACAAATATAATTCAAATAAATGATCATACAAAATTTAATAAATAAAAATTTTAATGAGTTAAAAAAATTAATGGGACTCTCTAAAATTTATTTCTAAATATAATATTTGTCTTTATCAAAAAATTATCTTTGAATCCTTTTAATTATACATTAATTTTTAAATTTAATTTTTGTGCCAGTCTGTGTTATAATTGTCTCAAATATATTTTTAGTATAATTTAATCAGTAATATTTTATAAAAAATATTTTTTGATCTCTATGTTATCGAAAAAATATTTACCTATATTTATTTGTGTTTACAAAAAAAACTCCTAAAAAATATACCCAAAAATTGTAGACTTTTTTAAAAAAAACTACACTAATAATTATCAGTTCATTAATATAAATTAAAATAATTTTTTGGGTGATTTGTTATTTTTTATTTAAAATTAATTTTTAATATTTATTTAAATAATATTTTTAATTATGAGAAGGATGTTAGAGAAATATACATATTAATTTAAATTTTAAAAATAAAATTATTTTTTTAAAGAAAGTATCTACAAATTATTAGAAGTATAAAATAATTAAGATTTTTTTGATAAAAAATAAAAATTAAAATAAAGTATAAAATATTTAATTAAAATTTAACTAAGTTTTAAATCAAAAAAAGTTTATTTTTGGTTTAAAGAAAAAGATTAAGTAAACATAAATAGTAGGCGGGGCAATATAAAAAATATAAGTAAATAAATAGAAACTAGAAAAATATTAGGTTAATAAAAAATTTTTATGTAAAAATTCAAATTAATATTAAGCCATTTATTTTATGCAAAATTTATTAAAAGATAATAAAACCTGAAATTAAAGATAACTTGCTAAAAATATAAATTATAAAGATTGATGAGAATAAAATTGAATTAATTAAATGTTAATAGTTTTGAAGATAAAGAAGGGTGAGGAAGAAAAATAATTTAAATAAATTATAAAAAATTATTTTTGAAAAGAAAAGTTTTCGATCCAAATCAGGGCTGATCAAAAAAAATTTTAAATTAAATTAATATTGAATCGAAACGAAATAAAAAATTTTTATTTCGTTTCTTAGTAAACGAAACGAAATTTCGATCAGCCCTAATCCCGAATAACTGATTCAGAATATTATTAGATTTAAATTTAAAAAATTTACCTAATTTTGTTTGTCCTTTAATTATTTTAGAAGCATTTTAAATTTTAATTTTTAAAATAAGGACAGGTTTACAATTTTGTTGCGTAAATTAATTAATGAATATTTGTTGCAAAAATAACGGGAAAGAAGAGGAAGGAGATGACTTTTGATGTTTTTTGAAGTTTTTAATTTTGTTTTTAAGGCACACCCACACGTACGGTGAAGATTAAAAAATAATTTAAAAAATGTGGCAGGAATTTATTAATAAAATATTGTGTTCAATTACTTTATGGCAGTGGCAGAATAGAAGAATAAATTAAAAAATAATCTAAAAATTAATATTTTTTGGAAAAAGTTTTGTCATTTATCTAGTTTAACGGTAGCTAGACATCAGGGCTGGGCTAATTTTTCATTTGACGCTTCGGTTTTTATTTTTAGAGTTCGCCCAGCCCTGGTAGGTAGACATATCAGGACGGACATCTCGGGATTGCTGTGAAAGAAATAATCTCCTTAGTTTAAAACAAAAACTCTTTTCTTCAATAGGGCAATGTACTTCCAGGACCCAGTGGCCGTAGGTCCTGAAATTAGTAGAGTAACTGCTCTTAATTGAAATATTTTGATATGTCAGTACCTAAATCTCTAGCACCCAGTTGGGTTATCAAAAATATGTATAGAAAATAAATTTAAAAAACACACGAAAATTAGTAAAATAAGCATGAAAACAATTCTAAAAATTCGTCTCGAGCTAAAATCGTTACATAAATATCTTAAAGAATTTCTCAAGAATATGGAGTTTAATCAGCCTAAGGTTTGATTTTAAATTATTTTTGAGCTAATTAACAAAATATTTAACTAAAATTTTGATGATTTGCATGCAGGTGATGACAAAATAATAAAATAAATTAATTAAAATACATAGAATGAATAAGAGAGTGAGTGATATAGGCTAAATAAAAAATTAAAAATAATTAAATTTAAAAATTCATTACATATTTAAAAATACAATTTAAAAAAAGAAAGTTAATTCCAAGTTAAATAAAAATATAGTTTCTGATAAAAAAATAATTTTTTACTAAAAATGTTTGGAGTTAAAGAATTAAATAGGGATTAAATACAAGGGTTAAAATTGTGTTAAAAATTATAGGTAAATCATACCACCAATATCCGGTATTGGAATTTAGATTATTTTTTTTGTTAAAGGGAGGTTAATTTATTGTTAAAAAAGCAATAACTGACCCCAAGTAATTGGACGTTAAAATAGGGATTTTTAGTGAAAATTTTTAATTTTTTCCTAATTTCAAAATTTATTTTATATCGAATATCTCAAAATTAAAAAAATTATATGTAATTTATTTCCCAAGCAAATTTATTAAGTAATATTTGCAAAATAAAAATAATTTTTGGCTGTACACGTGTGCAAAAATTTTGTGAAGAATTGTGTCATACTTTTTTGTTAACAAAAAAGTGGTATTTATTTAAGCGATCAATTTGGCTCTAAAAATTTTTATATTTATGAATGTTGTAAATTTTTGATTTTTATAGAATTTGTGTTTTGGTTTGGGGAATTAATAAATATATTTTCTATATATTAATTTTTATTTTTTCCTTTAAAAGTTTATTAAAATTAATAATGAAATAAAGGCGGAACTTATCAGAATATTTCATGATTATCCCCGATAGGGGTGAGTATTCCCGAACAGGGGAGACAATCTCCAAAAAGGTAAAACACGACGTTTTGTCGAAAATAATACAAAACGCAATGCCTCGATCCCAGCCCCCGACTCGAAACAAATTGAAAATTCCGTATCAGACACACCCACCAGCGGCTATTTTAATGAACATGGTGTACTTCAGACCTGCTCATGGATACGGATATGGATACAGATAATATCAAGATGCCTGTATCCGCCGATATCCGGATACGGATACCAAAATCAGTATCCGTGAGCAGGTCTGGTGTACTTTTTAATACAGCCCTTAGGTGGGAGATTCAAGGAAGTATTCATTAAATAAAAATTAATCAAATAAGCTCATAATTAATTATTTTAACAATTAATTGACAAATAAATATTTTTATAATCTTAATAATAATTAAAGAAAAATAAAAATAATTAACAGAGTAACAAGAAAGTGACAAATATTAAATAAATTATTAATCAAAAATTATTAATTTTTTTGGCAATCGTCCTTGGAAATTATGAGTAGATAAATAGGTATATACAAATTAATATTTGTGAAAAAAACCGGCGCCAAATTTTTTGAAGATTTTTTTGTTGAATAAATTTTATGAAAGAAAGGGAGACTTGAAAAAAATATGAGAAGAAATTTTGGCTTAATAAAAGGTATTTTGAAAGTAAAAAATAGGGGAGGGAGGGAGGGAGGTATTTTTTGAACTGAGATGTGTGTGGCTACGTGCATAATTTATAAAGTAAATAAATATATTTTTGAGTGTTTTCCCAAAATTAAAAAAATATTTTGGCCCTTTCTCTTGATCAAAAAAATTGGTCAGATATTTGAATGTTTTTTTGATTTTTGAATTTAATTTAAAAATAAAAGAAAAGGGAAATGAAATAATATTTTTAAATTTTTATTGAAATTATTAAAAATTTTGGACATATTAATTTAGGGACGTTAAAAATAAATATGTATAATTTAAACAATTTTTGATAGTTTGAATATTATTTGTACTGTATTTCCTAGAATGTAGCCTCACGCTAAATTAGAGCCGCACCCTAAAATAGAGCCCCACTTTTGAGGTTTATTAAAATAGAGCCCCATGGGGCTCTATTTTAGTAAATACCGAATATCGGATATTTAAAGAGGATATGGAATTAAGTAAATATTTTAAAACTATAATATAACAGCATTTTAGAAGAAATGATATTTATTTATTAATAATTTTTAACAGAAAAATTAAATTAAATTTTTAAAAAATGTGTTATTTTTCGAGAAAGTTTATTTTTATAAAAATTTGAAGATGATTCTGCAAAAGAAAAAAGAGGCAATTTTTTTATTAGAATTGATTGTTGCTTTTAGCTCGTACAAACAGACAACTTTATTGCATTATAAGTGGCCGGTCGTGCTTTCCGTGGATTTTTTTGTGTATTGTGACGGGGGAAAACAAGAGCAAAGATTGTCCCCATCTTTTAAATTTTATTGGAAAGTGTAAATAAGTAGTGCTAATCTATAAAATTTAAAAAATAGAAATTAAAATGTTCATGAATAGAAAAAAGAATTTTTTTAAAAATAGGTAAGATGGGATGGAAGGAAGAGGAATTTTAATTTTAAAAAGAAAGTAAACTATAATTTTTATTTTTTAATTAAAAATGATTTTTAAAAATAAATTAATATCTATGTAGCAAAGGTAGACCGGAATTCCGATTTCCGACGTTTTTTTCCTTCCAATTTCCGATTTCCGAAAAAAATTTTGATTTCGAGTTCCGAGTTCCGACTTTTGAGCCAGTTCCGATTTCCGGCTCTTCCAATTTCCGACACCTCTGACTGTTCCGAACCACCTCTGCTATGTAGCAGTCGAGAAAAATTCTGTTGGTAGTACGGTACAAACTGGAATCTTTAGTTCAGTAAATGGAAGCATTTAATTAATTAAAATAATTTTTATATTAAATAGCAGTAATTTCAAATCGTTTAAAAATAAATCTCTTTTAAAAAAGAAAATCATTTTTTAAACACGTTTTTGTTTTGTTTTGTGGTTGGC